CTTTTTCATATTTCACATTTCTATATTCAACCCAGTAAAATATTTCAAAGTGACGGTTACGCCAGTAGTGAGTATAAATTATAATTGATCGAAAAAGGAAATTCTAAATACGTGACCTGGTCATTTAAATGGCGCTGTTTCACTGCAGAAAGTCACTGATGCGTCGTATGTAAATCTGAAACTCTGATCACGAAACATTATATGTATCTATAAATTATGAAACATGATATCTCAATCGGTTATTTGTTGATCCCCTCGCACGCATGTTGCTAAAATCTCACAGTCTTATTGAATTTCTTCAGAGCGTATCCCTTACCACTTGCAACGTTATACAAATTGTTTATGGACCGAATAANTTGACTGAATTCGCGCGATAGTTATAATAGTAAAATAACTTGTCAAAGTTATTTACTTGTTAAATAAATAAAATAACTTGTCAGGAGTAAATTGCTACGCCAATCTGGAAGGCACAGTTGCACAGACGTTATAATTTATCGAATTTTCCGTTTGGGCAACGTAACATTAAAACGATTCGTTTCACATGAGAAGCTTGAAATGCTTAGCTGAAATTTTTAGAAAATACTGCGAGAAGAGTAAATTTGCATGTCATGCAACATCCGAAAAGGATAAGAAAAATGTACAAAATATTCATTTATAACTTCGATTTATAGTTAGTTAAGAGAGGAACGTAAAACCATACATAACTAGAACGATTTCTGCATAAATTATTAAACAGCAATTCTATCAAATAGATACAATTCGTTGTGGTACTGTATACCACCAAAGTCGCAGAAATTATTATTATTCTTATTAATGAGAACCAAGGATGAATTACAGTATGATTTGGCTGGTTTATTCACTCCGTGTTACGAAGGTTTCTCGATGGTAATTCAATATGTTTATACTCTATTAACACTAACATTCAGTTCCGCACTTGAGGATATTAAAATGTTTCTGTTTTAGATGATGAGCTCATCTTTTTCATATTTCACATTTCTATATTCAACCCAGTAAAATATTTCAAAGTGACACGGTTACGCCAGTAGTGAGTATAAATTATAATTGATCGAAAAAGAAAATTCTAAATACGTGACCTGGTCATTTAAATGGCGCTGTTTCACTGCAAAAAGTCACTGATGCGTCGTATGTAAATCTGAAACTCTGATCACGAAACATTATATGTATCTATAAATTATGAAACATGATATCTCAATCGGTTATTTGTTGATCCCCTCGCACGCATGTTGCTAAAATCTCACAGTCTTATTGAATTTCTTCAGAGCGTATCCCTTACCACTTGCAACGTTATACAAATTGTTTATGGACCGAATAATGCGCAAGTTAGAACTTATATAAAAAAAGATCACACTTGCGTTAATGAACTTTCCAATTACAAATCTCCAAAATAGCTACAAAGAGAACAACGTGTTGGCTTGAAAAGTACTTTACCATGTTGCAGGCTAGTGCACTCATTTTCAAGATATCAACAATTCAATGTCACAAGTCTGACTTCCGGAATGACTTTTCAGAATGTGAAATACATATGATTTACAAAGTCTATAAGCATTACAGCACCGTGCCATTGGAGTAAATATGTAAATGGTTACTTGCAGGGTGGTAATACTTGTATACATGAAAATTGAAATAAATATATTTTAAATTCACGTTTGTGAAAAATTACTTTGTATTGTTATTTCGTCCAGTTTTACGATCTCCTAGGCTTCGTTCATCTCGAAATTACAGAAGATACGATCTTGAAAAAGATCTTGTGGATCTGAATAATTGCCCTCCTGAAGCGAAAAGTTATTTCTACAGCGATACTGAAAACAATTTACAAAATAATACGTTACCTTTTTCACTGATCATATACAATTACGTGTACTACAATGTACTACAATGAGGACTTAAAGAAACGTCTCACACACGCGCCACGATTATAGCAGCTGCCAGATGCGCATATGGTGAACATTCTTTCTTCATTGCGTGCGATCAAATAGCTTTGCCGCTAAATGCATACAGCAAAGTGTAAATTGCTTACAGAGTTGTAAGCTATAGAAATGAAATTTACGAAAAGAATAATACAACGTATAATAAATACACACACCTGCACGTACTCACCTCTCACAAGCATTCTTCTTTCACACCGACATCGTTGTCAGCACAATATCATGCAACTGCATTCATAATAATCCGTCTGTATCCGCCGCTCATCATTAAATACTCCATTAGCCACTTTTCAAAGATAATTGAAACATTAAAAGTTTTAATTACAGAACTGCTTTAGTATTGCAGCGACCACTCAGATCAATAATTTTGATTCAATAGTGCGAGGATCCTTATCGCACTGTCGGTGTTTCACGATAAAGAATAATTCTCGTGGGGCGACTTTATTCGAATAATATTTGAACGATCTCGCTAAGAGAAAAAATATTCTCGGCTTTTTTTCTCTAGAGGGAACAAACGGGAGAAGCAAACATAGGAAAAGAATGATTTATACATTTTTAACGTTAAATGTTTCTTCCAGAAGCTTGCAGAGATCAATCGATTTCAGGGGAGGGCTTATAATGTGGCATAAACGTGATCATTTTGAATGAAATATGTAAACGTGAAATCGAACGCTACTACGAAGACTTCGCGCGGACGTTCTTCAATATCGAGCACAATGGACATGCTTCGGAAGAACTTCAATTCCTATAGTGTGCTGTTATCTTGTACTGGACTGTGGCCCTATGACAAATCTGTAATTGGAACGATTTGCAGAATAGGTTATACGTTGCTTACCCTCGCAGTTATAGGAATTCAGGTAACGATGATTTAATCAGTGGCGAAATATTTCTTTTTTCGAGAAAGTGGACTGTTTCATCGTAACAACGAATTTATAAAAGTGTAGCACTGTCGCATCATTGCGTTTAATACTATCGGAAGACTTCAACACACCTTAGTTGCATATTTGCATTTGAAGTACAAATTGAATTGGAGTTGTAAGATAAATTCTTCTCATGTTCTTTATTACTACGATATTGCTGCAGATGAGACTCGAAACGATTAAATGCATTTAAAAAGGAAAGATTATACAAGCTAAATACAATTTTAATAACTTCTTTGCAATCCGCGACTTTATTTATGAGTTATTAAAGAAAATCAGTGACCAATAAGAGGCGAGCTCGGCCGGCGCTCCGCCCTTGTGGCCAATGCCGCATCGCGCTGGCCGTCTGACGCAGCGGCAGTGGCTGCGAGGGAGGGGCGTCAGCCGTACGCGATCTCTCATTGGTCGCAATTGGTCTCATTCGACGCAATGAGAACGAAAGAGGCGAACGTCTATCTTCAGTCTTCGACATCGTTCGTACCATCGAAACCTTGCGAGGACGAGATGACAACGGAGTGGAAGACTTCATAAGGCAAGTAAAAACAGCTAGAAACATGTGCAGCGAGCCTACACTCTTGCTTAGAATCATTCTTGCCGAACGAATCACCGAGAATGCAAAACGCAATATTCGTTACCACCGCACTGACGATTATGATCAATTATACCATGTATTGAGAACTCAAGTTTCTACGCCAGTAACCACCGGCGGATGCCGTACTAAATTGCAAAGCACCTATGAAAACCGAGGTCAGTGCCCTTCGACATCGTGAGCCACAATTCCAGCCAGCAAATGCATCCTCAACTGCATGGGTAAGTTTCTTATTGATAATATTTTTCATATTTCTCTAATAAACAAATCCTTTACGTCCCTTAACGCGATTATTTATTATTAAATTAGCTTTGCGAATCATTCGTTGAATTCTGTTCGAACACGGAATTATTCAAATTAAAATATCATTTACGAACTTTGTTAATCTCCACTGTACACCTTGCATAAAAATTTCATATGGTACACGTGAGGTGTCATGCACACCAGAAAATTAAAACGGCTGTCACGGTTAAACTACATATTATTTCGGGTCCGAAAAATTAGTAAATATTCTTCAGACGTTCTAAAGTAAAGGTGAACAGCGTTTTTCTTAAAATTATCACTGTCACGAGGTAAAAAAAAATATCAAAAGCTCATGCTCCGTGACTTGTTCATTGATTCGAACGCGGCACAGAGTCCCCCTTTAGCTGTCAATCTCCGCGGCAGGAGCACGTGGCGCTCGATCGATCGACCACGTCGTGGTTCGCGCCATCGCCTCTGATTGGTCAGTGTTTTTCGTTAATAACTTGTAAACAAAGCCGCAGATTGTATTTTCGCAAAGGAAAAAGTTACTTAGAATGACCTCAGCTACCCCACATTTCCGTAATGCGAGACATTTTTGGAACACACTGTATGTATGTGAAGTTTACGACGTTGATTGCTTAACAGAACGTACGTGTCAGAATCGATTTAAAAAATTTCGTTCCGAAGATTTTTCACTTAAAGATGACCAACGTTCTGGTCTACCTTCTGAAGTTGATGATGACAAAATCGAAGCTATGATTGAATCCGATCGTCGTATAACTGTACTGATTGCAAAAAGGTTAAATGCATCACAAACAACAATTGAATATGTAGTTTAAATTTCTCACTTATTCTCCTTTGAGGAATATCCAAAGAACTTTTCTGAGACGCCTAGGGATGTTTATGAGAGGTTGGAGACTTTCAATAATACGAAATTTCTGAAAAAATACATAAAATACGTCTAATTGCGTTAAATTGCGTCTAACCAATTCCTCAACCTTTCACAAGCGACAATTTTGTTAATAAACAATAAATTTTAGAAGTAAATGTATACGAAACTAGAAGCTAGGAGCCGTTCACGTTTGCCAAAATGGAGAACAAATTTGATGTCGCATAAATATTCAAAAATTGCTCTAACTCAATATGTAATTGCTTAAACAGTTGCTATATAATTGCCCATTATTGATCTGTAATTGCTCTTAATTGGTTCTTCGTAGTTTCTCAGAAATTTCCAAAAAACTTCTTTAGGACGACTAGGGACTTTTATGAAAGACTGGAGACTAATAATAATACGAATTTTCTGAAAAAATGCATAAAACGTGCTGCACGAGCAATGTGTCAAATAATTGCTCTTTAATTGATAAATATCGTTGTGTAATTACTTTTAATTACACACTAATTATCAATTGTTCATAAAGTCGTAAAATTCTCTAATATAATATTCTTAAAATGACTCAGGTTTACGATAATTATTATAATGAATTTCAAAAGAATGCAGAGTTGCAACAGAATATAAAATATAAAAGAAAATATCGAAGGTTAAAGAGGATTATAAAGCACACAGTCTTTGTAAGTTTATATTTGTTAGCTTGTTAGCTTTGTTAGCTTTGTTAGCTTACTTTGTAACTTTATATTTGTTTGACAGCCAATCAATATTTCTTTTCTTTGATTAACACTCAGTCTCTATATACAATGTAACAATAAAATTAACGATTACATTAGGAAAATGCAGCACTATGCGATCAAGTTGCACAAATGCAAGAGAATCTTATGCTTGTAAAAGAAGAAAGACTGTTTCTTTTACGTAAATTGTGTCAACAACAAGGAGACGTAGATCCATCTGCTGTGATTCCTAGATCTCAGTCAAATACTATTAATTCCACTTTGTTCAATCCGGAATGCTCTACTCCTAAAAAGGCTGCAAAAAAAAGGGTTTCAACAGATGGATCAGGTATTAACTTGTAGATTTTATTACAATCGCATTAGAAAATGTCGATCGTTACCCTACAGTTGTGTTTACAGAAACAAAGAACAAATCTAAACGATACAACAAAATTATGCGTAAGGTAGTTCAATTGATACCGATGGATATGCATGGAAGGCCTATATTTCCCATTTCCTTGGGTGACCTTACTGTTTATTCGCTTGGTGAAGTAATATCCGATAGAATACCCTATCACACGGAAGATCTCATTTATCCAGTAGGTTATTGCAGCACAAGAGTATATGCCAATTTAAGAGATGTAAAAACAAAAAGTTTTTACACGTGCAAAATATTAGACGGTGGCTCAAAACCGAGGTATCAACTTGTATATTCTACTAATTGATCAATGTTTCATGCATATTGCTAGAACAGATTCAAATGATTTTCATAGATTTGAAATAGTGTCCGACAATGACCTGGATCAACCACTGGTGGGATCAACTCCTGACGAATGTCATTCAAAACTATTGATGGCAATTTCTCCTGCACTTCGAACAATAACACCGAAGGGTGCTGACTTTTTTGGCATTTCCCATCCTACAATTCAAAATCTTATACAAAGTATTCCTGGCACTCGTAAACTAGCTGTATATAAACAACAACGTTTCGAAGTATACAATTTACCTGTTTATGCATTATTTAGAATCATGTTGTTGAAAACTCATGTTCCTAATTTTTGATCTTTATTTAGGTAAGCAAGAGTCAAATTATGGAGAGAGACACAAGTCCAATAATGGAGGATGAAACGGATCCTGGACTTGGATTTATTGCTTTGCACAGGAATTATACTTTAACAAATTCTTATCGGATTAAGGAAGAACCTTCGGATCATGATCTCCTAACTCTTCAGGAACTACTTGCTTAGTTTTCATAACTGTTGATATTTAATAGCTATAAGTATCAGGAGGTATCAAACTCAACATAATACATAAAACAAGATACATAAAAACTATGTAAACGTTGATAACAATTTCAACATAAGAATACAATACATAATTATCAAATAGAACAAAGTGCGATAAAACGTGTATAAAACGATTTTATTTTCCATCTGTGTGACTTTGAATCGTTCCATTAAATAATGTACAAATATATAATAATATAACATAATGTTGAAGTAAACACAGCGCGACTCGTACTCTTACTCGTTTACACAATATTGATATAATATTTAATTATACTAGTACACGAAATAACATAGTCTAGATTTAAATCTAATATTTAAACTTTGTCTTAAGATTAATAGTCATAGTTAGTATTTTGTTCAGTATCATTTCGATACACCACGAATGGTACAGTGAAGTAAACTGACTTGTTTTATCAGAACCCCTTTTGCGGTTAGATATTGTCATTGTAAGTCGCACCTTACAATGTAAGAGTCTCAGAATTGACTAGTTGCGGTAAAATAACATTCGGCATCCAAAACTATAAAACTAATTCCTTTCATATCGCAAATATGTTCACCAAATCTAATAAATCGATATGTTGGCAAATATTTTTTTCACTTAAATGTTATTAGTTCCCTTTAACTTTTGTTTATATAGTTTTCATTTGTTCACAAACTTGTAAGCATTATTACATGGTACAAAACAAAAACATTTTGGCATAAGTTCGTAAAATTTGAATGAAATAAAATATAATTTTTGTACATATATGTACAGGTACAAATTTTTTATAAAATATCATACAGAGGGAAGTAAAAGTTACTTTCTGTTGTAAAAATATTGACACAACGATAGTTTTCAATTGTACAACATACTGTTCTCATTTAAATAATTAATGAAACTGTAAAAATGTTCAAACAGATTTTTTCTGTCTTTGCCATACCGTGTTAGGAAAACATAAAAATCACATGAAAATTCTCTATAATCATATCTTTGACATCTATGAAAATCAATTAAATAAACGCCCAATAAGAAATAATAAAAATATGTAAAAAACCTGAAAAATAGTTTATTGCTACATATTTTATTGAAGTAATATGCAGATTATACTGTTCGTTGTCACCGTCTGGTCGCTGGTCTAATTGTTTTATTGAAGAGTGTGTTTGCGATTGCAATTACCGGTGAAAACAGTTTCAGAGGACGATTACTGAAATAATAGATTTTTTTGTCATAAAATTCAATAATCGTCAAGTATGAATTATTTGTGTAGAATATGAAAGTATCTACCATACTCCAGTCACAGGTTCTGCTTCGTTCCCGCTAACAATAAATACTGGAAATAATATAGAGAAGACACAGCCACTAAAAAAAACAACAACGATTTTGGTCTTAGAAAAACCATCTATTAGAATAAAAGAAGAGAAGAAAAGAATGTCGTTTTGAAAAAATTACCTTATTACATATGAATTGGGCAGTTGGGTAAGTACTGCTAATGGCAAGCCAAAACCCACAAAGTATGGCCAGTTACTTTCAATGAAACTCAAACGCTTGTGCAACTCCCAGCCCATATTGAACCATTTATACTCGAAAGTATAGAGAGCGTACAGAAGGCACATGTGTACTAAGGCCAGAATATCACCTACAATAGGTAATGGGAACCTGGATACCAACATTCCTTGGCCCAAAAACAATGCTTGAACTAATATACTGAAAAGTGTGTCTGCTATCAGCTTGCTTACACTGGATAGCAGTAATGGCCTTCCTTGCCTATATCGGTAAGCACTGTCCGCTATATCCTACATCGTTTACAATTATATAGTATTTTTTATTAAATCCTTGAACGATTATATTACCTAAACCTTTCCTCTCTTACCATAAAGTAACTCATACCTGAAACCATAAACTGTTGACTATTCTACTGAGTAGAAACAGTGGTAGTACCCATACAGTGCCAAATGTTAATGATAAAAATGGTTTTGTCCATGACCATACAGTCATACCCATACCCGACGAATGACCAAATATAATGGTCAATAAGTATTTGAGAAATGGAAGTAGGCCGCATTCAAAGATCAATATGCTTGCCCAAAATACACCACCATTCAATGCGCAACATTGAATTGTTCTCTTCAGTACTTTCGATTCCCTAAAGACAACACAACGTTATGGGCATAACAAACTTTTAGACACACGTATCTCTGTAGACAATATACCTTAACTGGTTATAATAATGTTTCGAAGGATTATGTATAAGCACAATATCTTTTCCATGAGTATCTGTCCTAGACGGAGATTGTTTATATAACTTCTCATTGATGCGTTTATCCATATAAAATAGGACAACTGCTCCCCTTAAGCTGTCGGTCAGACCTCTATACATGGCACGTATTATTCCCTGAAATTATAAAAAGCAACTCTATTAGTACTTTATTATCCTTCTTAAACGAATATAAGTAAATTGTTCCTTTTTAGTTTACATATCCTCTTGTTAATATAGGAGTAGAGATAACATTTAGCACGTCAGAATTTAATATATAATCTGTTCAATTGTTAAGTTACAAATATTTCCATTAACAAAGCTAAAGGGCATGAGGAAAATACAATGAACATGTAATTCTCACGTGAACATATTTGTGATAACCTTCACTGTGTTTTTAGTAGAAGTCACGATTGTTATACTTACTGTCACGTTATCCATATTTTACAATAGTGTCCACGATAGCATATAATTAATCTATACTCGAAATATGATGAGAGATCTGGCAAAGAAACATATTCGAGGTAACATAACTGTCGACATCGGGAACAATGTGTAAGCACACCGAGAAAATTATGTTTATGAGGATGATTCGAATAGTACAAAGTTCCTCGACACCTTGAATATACGCATACTGTCATTCAATAATCTAATAATGCTTGATAAATGTGAATTTCCCTTTGTAAAACATACGAGTTCAAGTAACCAGCAAATTTAATGAAATTCCTAATGCATCAGCTGATTGATATTCCTTGAAAGCAAAGGTCAGCGGTGTGTTAATAGGTATAAAGGTCAATGCGGATGAAAAATAGTATCGTTTAATGCATAATACATCATTGTTAATGAAGTCGTATAAGAAGCACAATAGAAGAATTCGTTTCTTAGAAATTAATTAGATAATATCGAGTTCAATGTTTCAATACATATGTACATATTTTCCTATGTGTACGTTATACATTTAGCAGCGTTTTTTATTCAATTTATGAAACACGCATTCGTACATACATATAATACGTATGTACATGGAACTGTAAAGAAAATTAACAAAGAACTAGCGTAGCTGACTTCAGCTGAGTCTACTTATACTTAAGATTTACATGACAATATGTATTACATAATTTGCATAGGTGACTGTTTTCATGAAACAAATAATTTTCATTCAATTGTACATACATTTATATTTATATATATATATATGTGTATGTATTTTGGAAACTAAACAATTAAATTTTTGGTAAACTTGTCGAAAAGGTACAATCTCGATTTGTACTGGAAGAGGGTCGGCCCGACAATATGTACAATGTATGTACATAAAAATCCCTACGAAATGAGTTATAGTCATGTAAGCAATTCTGCTTCACCGTAGTAAGCATTTTTATCCCCACCATTTTAATGCGCATCAAGGGCCGCGCAGTTGCTTTAAAAGGAGAACGGGAGATGATCGAGAGAGACAGAACGAAACCAGCGGGCTCTATGGGCGAGTGTCCACGGCAATGAAAACTTAGGCCGTCTCACTTTATCGTGCTTGTGATCTCACCCTTTTCGCGCATTCGTTTGCCTGGTGCTCCAACTGAAACATGCGTTGCGACATTCGATTTGTACTTTTCGCCCCGTAGGAACACAAGATACCTCCGGAAACTTTTTGTTCGAGCCTTGGACATGTCAGACCTTTTCGTCCTCGGGCCCGGCAGGCCAGGCGGTTCATAATAGGGGTTGTAAACAACTCGGATATTGGTTTTGGTTCTTGAAATGTTTATGAAGAACCGAGATATTTTTATAACTGTTATAAGATATATCGGTTCCGGTTTCGGTTCTTCAGAACCGTTATTTTCTATAACTTTTATTTCTCGATGATAAATTTCGGTTATAATTCTATTTAAGGTAACAAATAAATCGTATCTCCTTTAGGGATTTAAAATGTGTATTATTGACAAGCAGCGACTTTCGACCATCGACTTATTTTCGACACGCCCTCCAGAATTATGCCATTAGATGAAAACTATGCAAAATCTGAAATTGGTCGGATAATGGGTGTCGCACCGAATTTGAAAATTTTTTAATTTTTGCAATTCATTTTTCACCGTTATAATCTATCGCCATGATACATTTTTGTACCTCTTTGGATTTGTCCAATCACGCTCTATATGAATATAGAAACAAAATATGATTTCGTTAGAAAGGAAATCATGATTTTGAAGAAAAAAATTTTTTTGCCGTTACATGTGTTTTTGATGTCTATCCAATGATTGACGCGCGTAGATTGTGCGACAAGTAGGCAGAGCGCGACAAAGCCAGGCGTAAGTGGCACGCGAACGAAGCGTGACAAAGATGCGCGTAGGGCGCGTGAATGCCTGACTGAGAAAGACGGAGAAACCTCGCATTAGAGCGGGAACTATCGCTTAGAACGATACAACGAACCCATGGGAACACACGTCAGAGGTCGAACCGAGGTTCGCGAGGAAAGGACAGAGAAATCAAGAAACACGCGTCGGAACGAGAACTGACATTCGAGGGTGTAAAGGGTTATATTTACACAGAGGCTTACAAACAAATGGTACAGATTAAGGAAATGAATGATGAGTTTCGCGTGTTCAAAGAACAGACAGGATTGAAAGCAAAGCAGTGGGTTAGATTGAAGAGGTATATTTACAAAGACGATATAGCGCAAGTGGATTACGTTGATTTGACACAGAATCAGGTTCACTTGAAGCTAGTGCCCAGAATCGACTACACAAGGCCTCGCGGGGCTTTGAAAACTGCGCAATGTGAATCCGAAAGTCTGAAANCGCATCAAGGGCCGCGCAGTTGCTTTAAAAGGAGAACGGGAGATGATCGAGAGAGACAGAACGAAACCAGCGGGCTCTATGCGTGTGTCCACATAGACGAGAAATCTAGGCCGTCTCACTTTACCGTGCTTGCGGTCTCACTCTTCGCGCAGCCTGGCGCTCCATTCAAAACTCCATTTGAAATTTCCGATCACACAGTCCAGCATATTTATGAACATCTTAAAACGGCGATCATTTCTACAATTATTAAAATTTTCGAAAACCCTTAAGCTATACTTTAAATAATTTTTCTAGATTATATCTTAAATAATTTATGAATTTACAAAATTTTGTTAATTCAATCATCCCAGTACATACTTGTCAAGTGTGACGGTCAGCATTGCTTAGCTGTAAAGTGTTAACCAATCAGAGGAGAAGCAGATTCTTTACCTGCTATATAATTCTAAGCCGGTTGCCCCGGTCTCATACACACATAAATGCATATATAATGTACTGACGAAACATACACGTGAATTGTATCGATATTACCAGTATCGAATATATCGCTGTACGTACTTCCTAACAAATTATAAAATGATATCAAGGAATGTAAATAAATTATTTAATTATATTTATAATATGTGCATATAACATGCTAAGTTTTCTTTCTTTTTTTATTTTATATAGTACGTACTGAGTACTATACTACCAACTTCTCCTTACGAAATATTGATATTTGGCTTGAGTAGTGTAGTATTTTGACACTTCAGTGGTGCTTGTGTATACACCGAGGAAAGATAAGCGTTCCATTGTTCCATGCACATGATGTCTGCACCGAATTTGGAAGTTTTCTATAAAAGGGCGGCTGCAGCGGTAAATTATATCTATCACTTGTTTTTCTTCATTATTTATAAAGTTTGGAGATGATGTAACCTCAACGGAATAGTTGTAAGCGTTTTAGGTTATAATTTTTTATATCCATATATGTTCTTTAGGAAGAAGAGATTGCAGCTTTGAAAAAGCAAGTTGAATATTTACAGCAGAGTATTACGAATAACGATTCTAAATTACAAACTGTGCCTAAAGATGAATATACAAAATTGGAACTAGAAAACATCAAACTAAAACATAGGGTAGCCATTCTAAAAAGGGTATGTTTTTTTAAATATTATAATTTATATATAATATGTTGGTTAAATTTTACTTTTACTAAATACTTCATTACTATTTTAATTTGTCTGATCCTTTGTTTGTTCGTTTCATTAATAGACCATCGAAGCTGATAGATCGAAGATTCAAAGTGAGGTGAAAATAGATGTGTATAATGCAATAAGCATATACGATACATTGTATAAGTTATTCAAAAAAGCCATTCATGCCGCATATGGAGATAAAATTGAACCTCCAGTGATTATAACAACTAGTAATAATCCAAAATTTGGAGATTACCAATGTAATAGCGCTATGCCGCTTACAACATTACTTAGTAATAATGGTAAGTATCGGAATGAGTGTACATGTTAAAAGTTCATATTAAAGTATTGTACTACTAACTACATGCATATTCGAGTAGGAATTAGAACATCGCCAATAGAAGTTGCAAAAAGTATAATAACAAAAATTGAGAATTCCGACATGATTGACAGATTTGAGGTGGCAGGTGGTGGCTTTATAAATATATTTCTGAAACGGAAATTTGCACAGATAGCACTGAGTAATTTGGTAAAATGTGGAAAAGCTTTGCCACCATATACCAAGAAACAAAAAGTTATTGTTGACTTCTCGAGTCCCAACATTGCTAAAGAGATGCATGTTGGGCATTTAAGGTCCACTATAATTGGAGATAGTATCGCAAGATTATTGGAATACCTAGGACACGACGTGCTGAGAATAAATCACATTGGTGACTGGGGAACCCAATTTGGAATGTTGATAGCTCATCTACAAGATAGGTTCCCCGATTATTTAATTGTATCACCTTCTATTACAGATCTTCAGGTGATTAAATTTAATCTAATTGAGGTGCATTACATTTCTGTTTATTAATCCTTCGGTGCACGGACGAATAAAATTTAAACTTGTGGAATTTCAAATGGAAGTAAATTATAGATTGAAAGGATTCCACAAACTCAACACGTGCACTGGAGAACGTTAAAAATATTCGAATTAATGATTTGTAAATTATAGAGCTTTTATAAAGAATCAAAGGAAAGATTCGATCAAGATCAAGAATTTAAAACACGTGCTTACGAGTGTGTTGTTAAGTTACAAGCATTTGATACCGATATGATAAGGGCGTGGCGACTAATTTGTGAAGTTTCTAGGAAAGGTAAAGTCATCTATACATAAAATAATCTTCATTTGACTGAGAATAAATAATTAGTATAGCGCTCTTTACCTATTCCCATTTGTTTCTTTTTTTTTTCCATTAAATCCAGACATTGAAAAGGTATATGTTCGATTGAACATTAAATTGATAGAAAGGGGTGAATCTTTTTATCAGAAACATATGGAATGTTTAATCAAAGACCTCGAGTCGAGAGGACTATTAGAAGAAGACGATGGACGAAAAGTAATGTGGAGTAAATGCGGAAATGAGATACCTTTCACTATTATCAAATCTGATGGTGCTTTTACATACGATACCTCAGATTTAGCAGCTTTAAAACAACGATTAGAAGAAGAAAGAGCTGATTGGGTAAATTATTATAACTAGAACTAGCGTATTGTCTTGCTTAAAATCAATTGTTAATTATCTGACCCAGAACGACACATTATTTACAGATTATATACGTAACAGATGCTGGTCAGTCTACGCATTTTCAAGTATTAGTACACTGTGGTGAAAGAGCAGGTATTGTAAAAAGTTGGCATAGAATAGATCACGTTGGATTCGGTGTAGTACTTGGTCAAGATAAAAAGAAATTTAAGACTAGGTCCGGAGAAACAGTAAAGTTAATTGATTTACTAGACGAAGGTAAATACTTTGGTTTCTTGTCTCTTTATGTATTATTGGCATATTGTATTGAAGTTGATCCATCGTCAATTTATGCTTATTCAGGTTTAAGAAGAGCACTTCAAAAGTTAAAAGAAAAACAACGCGATAAGGTGCTCACAGAAGAGGAATTGAAGAAAGCTCAAGAATCTATTGCTTACGGATGTATAAAATATGCAGATTTGTCACATAACAGAAATCACGATTATGTGTTTTCTTTTGACAAAATGTTAGAAGACAAGGGAAACACAGCAGTGTACTTACTGTATGCTCTCACCAGAATACGTGCTATTGCAAGAACAGCGAATATTTCGCAAGAAAAGTTGCAAGAACTTGCGCAAAATACGCCGATATCGTTAGACCATCAAAAAGAATGGAAATTAGCTAAAGTATTAATAAAATTTCCAGATGTATTAATTAAGATTACAAAAGATTTGTACTTACATCAGATGTGCGAGTATTGTTATGAAATTGCATGCGCATTCACCGAATTCTATGATAATTGTTATTGCGTTGAAAAAAATGAAAGTGGGGAAATAGTGAAAATAAATATGGGTCGTATATTATTGACAGAAGCTACTGCAATTATTATGGAAAAATGTTTTTCGATACTCGGTTTAGAACCGGTTGAGCATATGTGAATATATTTATGCATATTATGTATTTGTGAAATGTGAGATTGGAATAAAAAGTGGATGTTTTTTTTAAGGAATCACATGATAAACGTATGTATACATATGTATATGTAACATGCTTTCACTTTCATTTAAATCTGTAATAAGCAGTCTTTCTATTCTTTTCACTCCCTTCTGCTGCACCGAATATGGACGTACCTGTATCTGAACATATATTCCCGTAAAAAATTACATCATGTATTTATATGTATGTACATCATGCACACGTACGTACATACATACAGCGATCTGTGCTGTTTTATGAACAGAACAGTTTCTTCAGTTCTCACCTGAACTTCACGACACGTGTATGAAAGTATTGACCTATCGTGTTTAGTATATCAACTGATTTCTAATTTATTGTTAACAACAAAAATGGTAATTATTAATTTTCCTGCTGTTCTCGGAATGATATCAAAATAATTAATTGTCAATTACTACAATTTTATTTATAACCAATAAATTAGCGTGAATAACTTTCATGCCGGCAATGATGCAATAGTGGCGTATAATAGACTCAATATGTTTTTAATAATTCAAGATTAACAATTGTCAAACACAGAGAACATTGTTCTGTAAAATGTTATTGTCTTTTATTTTAATTATACGTAATCTTCGGTATTAGAAAAAGATCTGCATCACGTTTCTTGTAAATTCACAGACAACTGAAAGGAAAGGTACGTTCAAGGTAGAATATCTACAGAAAATTGAGAAAGATGTACAAGCAAAGTGGGAAGCTGAAAAGGTGTACGAGCAGGACGCACCCTTGGAAGTTAGAAAGTCTGCAGATGACAAATTTTTTGCAACTTTTCCTTTTCCTTATATGAATGGAAGACTTCATCTAGGACACATATTTTCATTATCGAAATGCGAAGTAAATATTGGATCAAATAATTTGAAAAGTTCCAAATATTTTATAATTCGTTTGTATGAAACTAAATGATATTAATGCGTGTCATAACTATTGCATGTAGTTTGCTGCACGGTATAATCGGCTCTTGGGAAAGAAAGTACTATTTCCATTTGGTTTCCATTGCACTGGTATGCCTATCAAAGCATGCGCTGATAAATTAAAGAGGGAAATGGAATTGTATGGGTGTCCACCAAAATTTCCTGAAGAAGAAACGGTAATAGAACAAGACGTAGATGACTTAATAATAAAAGATAAGAGTAAAGGAACAAAGGTAATGTGACAATGCATTGTGCGCAGAATATGTATCTAATTCATGTTTATAAATTCGTCTGACTGATTTCAGAGTAAAGCAGTTGCAAAAACAGCTAGTGTCAAGTATCAATGGCAAATTATGCAAACGCTAGGTTTGGAGGATGAAGACATAAAGAAGTTTGCGGATTCTGCGTACTGGTTAGACTATTTTCCACCTCTTGCTGTGCAAGATTTAAAGTCTATTGGATTACATGTAAATTAATGAAAAACCTTTTGTAGTTTTTCTTGTATTTGTGGTGATCATAAGGCAGGAGGTCCTATTTGTTTTAGGTGGACTGGCGCCGAACGTTTATCACGACAGATGCAAATCCATTTTTTGATTCGTTTGTACGTTGGCAATTTCAACATTTGAAAGCTAGAAACAAGATAAAATATGGAAAAAGACATACAATCTATTCGCCAAAAGACGGTCAGCCATGTATGGATCATGATAGATCGTCAGGGGAGGGGGTAGGGCCGCAAGAATACACGCTAATTAAAATGAAGCTCAAAGAGCCTTACCCGATAAATCTAAAATGTCTTTCTGGGAAACCTGTTTACTTGGTAGCTGCAACTCTGAGACCGGAAACAATGTATGGTCAAACAAATTGTTGGATTCATCCGGAAATAACATATATTGCCTATTCTCTGTCAAACGGAGATGTGTATATATCAACTGAAAGAGCAGCAAGAAACATGGCTTACCAAAACTTCTTCAAAGAAGAAGGAAAAATATTTACCGAACTGAAAATTATCGGGAAAGATATATTAGGATTAGCCGTGGAAGCACCTCTTACAGCCTATAAAGTAATTTACACTTTACCCATGTTGACCATCAGGGAAGACAAAGGGACTGGGATTGTTACCTCGGTGCCTAGCGATTCCCCTGATGATTATGCGGCTTTAGTAGATCTCAAGAAGAAAGAACCGTTCAGGAAAAAGTATGGGGTGGCCGATGAAATGGTGTTACCTTATGATCCTATACCCGTCATCAAAGTGCCAGAATTTGGTGATTTAACTGCAGTAACGTTGTACGAGAAATTGAAAATACAGTCTCAAAATGACAAAACAAAGCTTTCGGAGGCAAAAGAAATGGCGTATCTTAAAGGTTTCTACGACGGAATCCTACTAGTTGGTAAATACAAAGGGAGCAAGGTGCAGGAAGCAAAGAAAGAAATACAAAAAGATTTAATAAGCGAAGGGAAAGCAGTTTTGTATTATGAGCCCGAGAGAAAAGTTATGTCTCGAACGAACGACGAGTGTGTAGTAGCTTTATGTGATCAATGGTATCTGGATTACGGCGAAGAAAACTGGAAAAAGGAAGCTACGAAAGCTTTAGCCAATCTTAATACTTTCCATGACGAAGTAAGAAAGAATTTTATGGCGTGTCTGGACTGGTTGCATGAATACGCGTGTTCAAGGACTTATGGGCTTGGTGATTTTTTTGTAGTAATTTTGAGAGAATAATAGGATCGAAGAGTGTTGTTAATGTACCTTTAATAATCATAAATTTTAGGTACTAAATTGCCGTGGGATGAAACCTGGTTAATCGAATCCCTCTCCGATTCAACGATTTACATGGCTTACTACACTGTTGCACATTTATTGCAAGGAGGAACATTCAAAGGCGACAAGACAAATGCATATAACATCAAGTAAAGTTTAAACATTTATATATCCATGCGAAAATGTATTAAAATACGATAACGATATTTAGGGCTGAGGATATGAAACCAGAAGTATGGGACTACATCTTCTTCGAAGATGCTAAGCTTCCAAAAACAAGTATAAAGAAACAGGCACTGGAACACATGCGACGTGAATTTCAATACTGGTATCCAGTGGACGTAAGAGTTTCTGGGAAAGATTTAGTACAAAACCATTTAACCTTTTTTATTTACAACCATACCGCAATATGGCCCGAACAGCCGGAATTATGGCCAAAAGGAATAAGAGCCAATGGACACGTTCTATTAAACTCGGCTAAGGTAAAATAATGCTCTTAGCAATATGTCATGAGATACTGCCTACTAAATGTTATGAGTTTTATCTTGTTAGATGTCGAAATCGGAAGGCAATTTTCTAACACTTGCCGAGGCAGTAGAAAAATTTTCGGCCGACGGTACACGGCTTTCGTTAGCTGATTCTGGCGATTCGGTAGAAGATGCTAATTTTGTTGAAACCACGGCGAATGCTGGAATTCTTCGACTGTACAATCTTATCGAATGGATGAAGGAAGTATTGGCTTCCAAAAGCACTTTTAGACATGGGAAACCACATACGTTCAATGACAAGGTTTTCGACAGGTATCCCTATTTATTAAAAAAATCCTTATGATTCTGTTTCTAAAACTAATACTAAGTTTATAATTCAACTAGTGAAATCAACCTAAAAATACGCGAGACTGGAGACAATTATTCGAAAATGTTGTACAAAGAAGCATTAAAAACAGGCTTCTTCGAATTGCAAGCAATAAAGGACAAATACTTACAATTGACCACGCTAGACAATGCAAATTGGACACTGATTATGAAGTTTATGGAAACTCAAATTATACTGTTGTCACCTATTTGTCCGCATATATCGGAATATCTATGGAAACTAATTGGTAATGTGAGTATTCGTCTTTAATTAGAAATGGCAATATACTCATTTACGACAGTAATTACAATAAGATGAAATTTGAACTTTTCATCAGGAAGATAGTATATTAAATGCTAGATGGCCCCAGATTGAAGAAATCGATGAAATTCTTATAAAATCATCTCAGTATCTAATGGATGCTGCACACTCATTCAGAATCCTCCTAAAAGCTTATATGACACCGAAAAAAGGACCAAAAGGAAAAGACGGTGCAACGGTCGTAGAAAAGCCTACTGATGGTACAATTTGGGTAGCAAAAACCTACCCCGCTTGGCAAAGTACTGTTTTAACTACAATGAAAAATTTGTTTGTTGTAAGCGATTATTATAAACAGATTCGTGCGTTCAATTCGAATGATAAATTTATTTAAAACTGTTAAATCGGCTTACAGAGTAACGGCAATAAACTACCAGAAAATAAAATGATTGCGATCGAACTAGGAAAATTGCAGGATCTGAAGAAATACATGAAACGAGTGATGCCATTTGTGCAATTTGTACGAGAAAGGATGGAGGTTATTGGATTCAATGCGTTCAATTTAACTTTAGATTTCGATGAATTCAACGTTCTTCAAGATAGTAAAAAATATCTTGAAAATACTTTGGGTGTAAGCAATGTGTTTATATAGAAAATCTGTGCAACTAAAATTCGTATGTACGATTAATTAATTCGCTCTCTTATTTATTTCAATACAGTTGACGAATATCGTGATAAAGTATACCGACGAAGCTCCAGAAAAAACGAGAGAAGAATGTTGCCCAGGCTCACCGTACATGAATTTTTCTAATCCTAGTCTCTCTATATGTATTACTAATCCACAAAAATGCAATGGTTTATTCAGGATGATTATGAAAATCATGAACAGAGACACTGGTGAAGATGTAATCGCACGAATAATGAAACAGAACGAATTTATAAATAGTACGTATTATTTACTGGTGTAAATAATATTTTAAATAATTTACTGGCGCTTGTGTATGTGCGGTACGTGTGTTTTTGTGTCATTGTGTTTATTAACCGTCATGATTTTTGTTGCAGACCCGTTATCCGTTTCTCTGTACCGTTACAGTGATCCTTGTTTAGGACCTAGAACCAAACCAATTGTTGACGATATTTTAAGAGGTAAAGTTGAAGTTCCTCGCACCTCTGTATTTAATGTCGATGTAGAAAACAAAATCATTCAAGTCAACGTTGAAGGAAATATTTATGACATCGGTAACGAGCTAGTATACATAGTTCAGTCTAACGACAATTAAAGCATAAATCGGAATTATAATACTTTCCATAATACAAATATGATACAAGTAACAAACTGGTTACAAAAATTATTTTCTCAAACGTAAACATTTAAACATGTAATTTTTGTATTGATAAATAAATCAATTTCACGAATCTTATCCTTGATTCTTCGTGTGTCCATATTGAAAGAAAGTTTATTTATATATACATACATACATATATATACATACATATATATCAAAATATTTCTTTGAATTTTTATGTAAGTGTTACATAAAAATTCAAAGAAATATTTTGATTCTCGAAGATGCTTCTCTGAGTGACAAAATTGCGTGTGAGTTAGAGGCAAGTTTGTTAGCAAGTTGTTCAAAGTTTGTTTTTTTAGTTGCCCTGCCAGGTGTTCACCTCGGCCCATATTTTCTTGATGTCTTCGGCATTTGTCCTACAACAACCACCTACATATTCAACACCCAGATTCAACCATTCGTGTACAAATTGATGTAAAGTGTATCCCCCTTGCTTTTGAATCCAGCCGGATTCCACTGTATATTTGTCACCGCTATTGGGATATACTACCAATGGCATGAGATTTTTCTTACGATTTCCGTTGACTACCTTCAACAAAGGTGTCACGTTCTGTGGTGCGATACAATTAACGCCAATTGCTAAAATTTGTCCTGGTGAAGCTTTTTTATAACATTCCGTTACAACATCATGGAAACTAGACCCGTCTGCTATACTCTGTCCATCGTCGCGACAAGAAAAGGACAACCATGCTTTGGTATTTGGATATTCTTTCAGCAGAGTAACCAGAGCTTCTGCTTCTCGTTTACAAGGTATCGTTTCCATCGCCAATATGTCGATACCGCTAGCGATCAATTTATCGATACGAGGCCTGTGCCAATCCATAAGAATCTTTTCGGACACCGATGAACAGTATCTGCCGGTATATTCCGAGGCATCGTGCAAACAGGCGCCATATGGTCCAACGGATCCAGCAATCAATGGATTCTCGTTTACAATTTCCTTTCCTTCGGCCTTTGTTTCTCTCTTGTATAAGTTTACAGCTTCTTTGGCGTAATCGACAGCTTTACAAAATAAATTCAGGCTCTCTTCTTCCGTTAGACCAATATACTTGGAAAAACCGTCGATCGATGCTTGGTAGGTATTCGTAAGAATAATTCCGGCGCCAGCATTCAAAAAGTCCAAGTGCGTAGAAATAATGGCATTTGGATTTGTGACGAGAAATCGCGCAGTCCACAGAGGATCACCGTCTATTATGTCACCCACGTGAGTCGCTAATTGTGTAGAAAATCCACCGTCCAGCACTTTGATCGTTGTAGACATAATTTGACTTTGAAATTATACGATTTATATGATGTAATTCGAACAGAGAAACTGCTATTCCTCAACAAGCCAACTTTTACAGATGCACATACACGTATCTATTGCTTAAGTGTTTCTGAAAATCTGAGGCAATACTTTCTATGAGTGGCTGCAGAGAATGCTGTTAATCCAAAGTCCGCGAAGAATCTCAGATAAGTATTATACTGTACGAGGCTCTTTAAAAAAATACAAGTTTTAAGATTATGCTCTTTTTTTATATGTACCTAGGATGTCGGGAAGATCTCGCGTATCAACGACAGAAATAGAATGTGTGTGTGCGTGTGTGTGTATGCAATGTAATATTTTCAAACGTCTTGAATAGTATCTATCTCTAATCTGATAGCTATAGTAAATATTTATTTTCGAATATCTGTTAACTGATAAGTTTCAACATGCAACAAGTGGTTTTCAAATTTATTGATATCACTTTTGGATCGCATCTTTTGCTACTTATGTTTTTATTGTCCATGAGCAATGAATTGTTACATAATTTACAGAAGAAATAGATTTTTCTCTCTACATAAAAATTATTTCATGTACAAAACAACTCTCTGCTCGATGCAAAGAGACATAAATTATTGTCTTTTAAGTCAAATCCATTGAACATTATTTTAGCAGATTTTTCTTCTTGAAACTGCTTACTTCTTTTCTAATCGACTTTATATTGTCCGTATACATTCTGCAACAGCCTCCAAGGTATCGTACACCAAATTTCAACCATTCCGGAATAAAACTTTCCATGGAATTACATGTTTCATTCCAAACCCATCCTTTGGTTGGAGAATATATTTCTCCGCTATTGGGGTATGCTATTAGTGGAATAAACTCGTTTCCTTCGTTTCTGTTAATATTTTTTAATAAGCCGCTCACATCCGACGGAGCAAGGCAATTCACACCAATGGCGACAAGCTGTCCTGGTAAAGCCATTTTGTAACAACGTGTAGCTACTTCTTCAAAATTACTTCCATCCGCTAAATTTGGACTGTTTCGTTCGCACGAAAATGAAAGCCATGCTTTAACATTTGGATATTCTCGTAAAAGTTCGACCAATGCTTCTGCTTCTTGATAGCAAGGTATAGTTTCTAATGCTAACAAGTCAATGCCAGCATCTACTAAAACATCGATACGTGATTTGTGCCACTGTTTTATGATTTGGCTGGACGTAGTTCTACCATAAGCTCCATTGTATTCTGAACCATCGTGTAAACTAGCTCCATAAGGACCACAAGAGCCAGCAATCAATGGATTTTTATTTTCAACCTCCTCGTTTCCCGATGTTTCTTTAATGTAATTGTCAACCGCTTTTTTAGCAAGTTCAACAGCTTTAGCTAATAAATTTTTACTGGCTTCTTCGCTAATAGATAAATGTTTCGTTAAACCAGAAATTGAAGCTTGATAAGTATTAGTTTCTATGATATCTGCTCCTGCTCTTAAAAAATCTAAATGCGTTGCATAAACTGCGTCTGGATTCGTTGCTAAGAAACGTGCTGTCCATAAGGGATCGCCATCAATTTTTGCACCAACATGTGTAGATAATTGTGCACCAAATCCACCATCTAAAATTTTAACGTCCATCTTTCTTCGCATTACCTTGGAAAAAGTCATCAGTAATGAACAAATAGTAATCCATAAATTACTCGTCTTCTTTATCAGATGTTCAAGAATCGAATCATTTTATATACATACGTGCATATCTTGTATTTTGCTGCATATAAATTTCTTACTACGAATAATTGAAGATGATTTTACATCTCCTATCAGACTTGTAATATAATTGCGATAACCTTTTATGTTTATCGTCGATACATATGTTTGTATGTATACATTTACATTGTATACATATTCGAACATCTATCGTTCCCTATCAAAAATATTCAAGAAACATCACGATGTACCGTTTATTAAGAAATTCGAATGGTATAAAATCTAACTCAATGTGTAACACACACAGCAATTTATTTTGAATTAGTTATGAATTTGACGGCAAGTATTCGTGTGATTTGTATCAAATGCAGATCCATATTGCATTCGTTCCGCATGTCACATGGACTCGTACGGATTTGGCAATTTGGCATCAACGCCTCCTTCATGCTAGACCTTGTAGCGCTATCTGTTGTCGAAAGTGGGCAGATCAGTCGCAATAAAAGCGGACCTAGGCGTTACCAAATACACAGCCTTGGAATCCGTACAGACATTGTACCTTACGGACTTTACCGTGTTGCGTTCAACGTTACCGACAGTTCACGATTTTAGGCACGCTAACAAGAAGCAAATGTAATTTTACAAACAATAACGAAAAGTTGTTTCAAGCAAACAGTGCAAATTACATTGGAATAAAGTGTAATTCAGATTTATTTACTGCGCTAAGCGCCGAAAATGTTTTATATGAGATAGATAAAAATGTGGATAGGAAATGATTAACCGAGATACATACGTCGAGCTCCGTAAATATGTATGTATGTACATATGTATTTCGGTTAATCATTTCCTATCCACATTTCTGTCTAGCGTGGATCGTGGGATAGGGCGCATGCGCAGTAGTGGTAATTCTTGCACTCTCGTCTTCGATTGAGCATTACTGATATAGTCTACAAACTCACGCCAAGTTACCAAAAGTTCATCAATTACACCGTCGACGGCGCTGAGATTGAATTTCTTCAAATCTTATAAAATTGTTCTGCTGAGCCCTTCGGGATAGGACATCATAAATCCTCAGTCAAAGTCCTTTTCTTCGTTCAAGTTTCCGAGCCCGAATTCTTGGCGTGTAATACCTTCACAACCCTCGTAGGCGCGCTGTCGAAGCATCACCACCACCACCACCGCCAATAATCATCGAGTTGCAACCGGTAGACGGACCATCCGACGAATCAGCGTCCAGCCGGGGGACTCCATTTTCCTATTGACCGAGAAGAAAGGAGGGGAAAGGAAGCTGGAAAAAGATTAAAAACCGAATGATAGAAAATCACAGAATACACATCGTACAGCTCAGACAATAAAGCGTTTCAGCGCTCATCGAAAATTCGCTACAATTCATACCAAATGCGAACCAAGCTCTCCTTTAACTTTTTAGGTACGGCTGGATTCTGCGCGAGGCTATTTCTCTGGACGGCAGAGTCCGATATTGTATATTCTGTCTGTATATACAGGGTGTCCCAAAAATGTCTCGCAATCCGAAAGTGGCGGGTTCCTCAGGCCATCCGCGAAAGCCACTATAGTGGCGTGTGGTTCTGAAAGATGACATCCGCGGAAGCCACTATAGTGGTGCGTCGTGCCTAAAAGGTTTAGCAGAGTCTTGGCATCAAATTGACATAAATATCCTCCCCCAGTACAATACCAAGCGTTTCGCATGTATTTGGTCGAAACACGAAACAGAGTTGGCTGACTTGGTACGATCGTATTGTTATCTTATGACCACTTATAACTTATGATACAACCGAATAGAACGATATTGTAGAAAGGCGTCGAATATTCCAAGCGTCGTCGCCGGTACACTCATTGGATTATTCTTAGAAGATATTTAAAGCTGACCAAATATCTATAATTAACATTTGAATTACACTTTGTACAACGTATCGCTTTCATTACTAGGTAGTCCAAAATAAACATAATCCAACGGATATGTATGCATTCAAGTAAAGGAGCAGATACATAATTATTTTGATAGAGATGTAACGATGGTATGCTACATACATACACATATGTATACAGCACGGTATACACAAAATCTATTTTCATATGCATATATGTATAGTTCGTCGTTCGTCGCTTTCGTATGTTTATATGGTTGAACTCCATGATTAAATCCTGTTGACTGTGAACATCGTTTTCTACGGACATATTTACACGTCGCCCACGACAACACGGTATGATTTTTTCAATAAAGATCAATGAGAAATTACCCATTCAAGGATATTTCCCATGAAAACAATGATCTCTAAATTGAAGATATATTAGTCATTATTATTAGTTATTAGATCGTTGATTTTCNGAGTCCGATATTGTATATTCTGTCTGTATATACAGGGTGTCCCAAAAATGTCTCGCAATCCGAAAGTGGCGGGTTCCTCAGGCCATCCGCGAAAGCCACTATAGTGGCGTGTGGTTCTGAAAGATGACATCCGCGGAAGCCACTATAGTGGTGCGTCGTGCCTAAAAGGTTTAGCAGAGTCTTGGCATCAAATTGACATAAATATCCTCCCCCAGTACAATACCAAGCGTTTCGCATGTATTTGGTCGAAACACGAAACAGAGTTGGCTGACTTGGTACGATCGTATTGTTATCTTATGACCACTTATAACTTATGATACAACCGAATAGAACGATATTGTAGAAAGGCGTCGAATATTCCAAGCGTCGTCGCCGGTACACTCATTGGATTATTCTTAGAAGATATTTAAAGCTGACCAAATATCTATAATTAACATTTGAATTACACTTTGTACAACGTATCGCTTTCATTACTAGGTAGTCCAAAATAAACATAATCCAACGGATATGTATGCATTCAAGTAAAGGAGCAGATACATAATTATTTTGATAGAGATGTAACGATGGTATGCTACATACATACACATATGTATACAGCACGGTATACACAAAATCTATTTTCATATGCATATATGTATAGTTCGTCGTTCGTCGCTTTCGTATGTTTATATGGTTGAACTCCATGATTAAATCCTGTTGACTGTGAACATCGTTTTCTACGGACATATTTACACGTCGCCCACGACAACACGGTATGATTTTTTCAATAAAGATCAATGAGAAATTACCCATTCAAGGATATTTCCCATGAAAACAATGATCTCTAAATTGAAGATATATTAGTCATTATTATTAGTTATTAGATCGTTGATTTTCATTCTATTATAGCGTTTTGAAAAAGCGTTTCGTAGCTAAACAGCTCGTTTGCAAGTAAGTAATTTCCCATGAGAACAATGATCTCTAAATTGAAGATATATTAGTTATTATTATTAATTATATATTAGATCGTTAATTTTCATTCTATTACAGCGTTTTGAAAAAGCGTTTCGTAGCTAAATTGGTCGTTTGCAAGTAAGTAATTTCCCATGAGAACAATGATCTCTAAATTGAAGATATATTAGTTATTATTATTAGTTATATATATATATATTAGATTGTTGATTTTCATACTATTACAGCGTTTTGAAAAAGCGTTTCGTAGCTAAATTGGTCGTTTGCAAGTAAGTAATTTCCCATGAGAACAATGATCTCTAAATTGAAGATATATTAGTTATTATTATTAATTATATATTAGATCGTTAATTTTCATACTATTACAGCGTTTTGAAAAAGCGTTTCGTAGCTAAATTGGTCGTTTGCAAGTAAGAAAATATACGTGTGTAGAAGTTTCTGGAGACCGAAAACTCATGCGTGTTCGAGCTCGGAACGTTCTGGATCTGTCTGATCCATCGGTCGGTGCGCGTATAAATATCCGCGGTGCGGAGCGTATGGTAACAAGCAATAGCAGCCGGTAGCAGGTAACAGTCAGCACGTCAGCCGTGTAGCTGTAGCGGTCCGAGTAGAAAGCATCGAAGATTCAAAAGCGACTTGCAAGTCTGTGAATATTAAATAGTAGGTTCGTGTCAACGTATCAAACTACATATTTAGCAAGTACAACAAGTAACACAAGTGAACTGATCCAGTCGAAATGTCTCTGATACCGTTGCTGTTCTCCGACTGGTGGGAGGATTTGGATCGTCCTCATCGACTTCTCGATCAGAACTTCGGCTTAGGACTGCGTCCCGAGCAACTGCTGAACCAGAACATCATGGATCACTACATTTTGCCTCTCCGGGAGAGAAGAACGAGTAGAAATCCGCTGATCTACTACAGACCGTGGGGTGAACTTCTGCGAAATGAAGGAGGAGGCGGTACATCCACCGTCAAAGCGGACAAGGACAAGTTCCAAGTTGTCCTGGACGTTCAGCAATTCAAACCCGACGAGATCAACGTGAAAGTTGTGGACAGATCTGTCGTGGTCGAGGCTAAACACGAGGAGAAACAGGACGAACACGGATGGATATCTCGCCAGTTCACCAGAAGATACATAATACCTGAACAATGCAACATCGACGAGCTCACGTCGAGCCTGTCCTCCGATGGCGTACTTAGCATCACCGCGCCTAGAAAGGACATGCCGAAGACCCAGTCCGAGAGATCAATCTCGATCGAGCGGACTGGAAAGCCGGCACTGAGAGAGAACCAACAGGAGACGAAAGAAGAGGCGAAAGCGGAGACGAAAGAAGAGGCGAAAGCGGAGAAGAAAGAAGAGAAGAAAGAAGAAAAGTAATTATTTGTTAAATATGCCCGTTACAAGTTCTAACCTATATTGTAATCTGTGTGTTTCTATTTCTCATACGAGCTTCGTTTACTTTCACGTTAAATAAGTCCACATTGTTGAAAATATTTATACATGTTACATTGCATTGTAAAATATGCTTTTTTTAAGTTCTACTTTTAAGAAATTTTGTAATAAATACTTTAGACAATAAAACCGACGTTCTTTTTATCGTGACTGTAGACAGATTTTCTAAAAATATTGGTGATCGTAATAGTACGATCTACTCACTGTACAGTACGGTATCGCGAGCGATAAACAAATAAAATAACAATTGCAAAATAAAGTCGTAGCTGAAACAATTTAATCAAAGAGTTTCGTTAAAAGGTCCGATATATCTGATTGTATATATTTATGCATATATTTTATTTATATTATGTATATATACAGACTGTATACGTATACATGTACATATGTCTTGTAGGTAAATCTCTGTTGGATATGCGAGCGATGTTAGAGCTTCATACAAAAATTATAGTCAATTCAAGAGGTACAATAAAACATTTAACATTAGTTTATGCACCATTTGCTATTTCACAATACCGCGTTTACTTTTAGCGTATTACTTTTGTACATTTGAAGGAAAATCGAAACAAGCGGTCTTCTTTACACAGTATTATAAAATTTAAACCTATGACAACACGAATGCAACTAACGTGTATAACTTGTGAGATTATAACGAGCAAATTTATACGAGTTGAAATTGAGAACAATACAAATACTTATACCGTACGTTTAATATTCCTTATTACTTTATACGTTGTACAGTATTCGATTAGATTTTATTTATTCGTCTTCAAATTAACAATCACACTTTTATCGGGGTCATTGTGGATTCCTGTATAACAGACTACGGAGTTTTTGTTAATTCATGTTTATTTTCATATTTATCTACGCGTATACGTATAATATATGTGTGTATGTGCATGCGTGTGGTGTGTGCGCGCGCGCGCGCGTGTAGTATACGTATCCATATACATATCTTATTGTCGGCGAGCAAATTAGAATTCTCTGATAACCATTAGAAAGTTTCGTTAAATGCGTTGTATAAAGTATTCGTGAGGATATTCGTTCGTTTTAAGGTTTATAGTCTTTCGAGCCTTATTGCCTTGTAAAAAAATTCATTGCAAACGCTGTACACCATGTCTCTTGGCAGTACAATCACGAATGTCTTCTACGTGCTCCTTCTTCCTTTATCTTTGTCGAATGTCGTTCGGTTCAAAGAAATGTATTTTTGCAATGTTGCCTTCAACTATAGTTTAACAATTAACAAAGCCTAAAATGCATCGGAAGTTTTAATATCAGTTGTCCTTCAGCACTTCTTTTAAGATAGAACCTGTATTTCTGGCTGGCACAAAGTCCGGGAATGTTGGAAGATTTACATTGGAGAGCAACAACGTGGATTGCGTCGACGATGTAGAATGCTGTCTGCTGTGGCCAGGTTTTTGCAAGGACTGTAAAAAGAGGCAAGCATTGTAGTTAAGATATGCTTGTACTTTATAAAAGTTATTATTATTATTCATTATTATTCATTATTATTATTCATACCGATGTTTGTATAGGCAGCGCAGGTAATTGCGGCTTCGGTATCGATTCGCTTTCCAAAAATCTCACGAATGCCGCCGTCAAGGATGCTTCTTGATCCTGGGGTGCGTAACAATTTGTGAGCTTAAGTTTTTCGTTCAGTATTTATGCTTAATAAAAAATTTCTATTAACAAAGAAGAATTGGGAAAATCTATACAATTAATCTACCTTGTTCGAGATATGAGAACCGCTATTTAAACGCCAAAACCAACCGTTTTGAGCGGTCGTGTTGAGCAAACCAGCTCTATCCCTTTCTGCCTCGTTGAAATCCAAAATCGTAGAAAATACTTTGAGTACCGATGGTTTGTCTGCCGTCGGTGCGGTGAGATAGCCCAAGAGAATATTTTTAATGAGAGACCTGAAAAAATATTACTCATATTAGCGGTTGAGCGGAAAGTGTCTGCGATGTTAATGGTAAATTCAAAATTAATTTACTGACTTGTTAACTTTTCCCTCCCCGCTTTGTCGTGCTTCCTCTATCCTTTGGTCAGCAGTGGTTACAAGATTGGTTAATCGGTCCACTATAAATATACGATAGAAAAGCATGAGGCAAACGTTCGTAAAGTTATTATTAGTAAATAGACTGCAACAATACGATCTTCGATCGAGTAAACTATTCGTTGTTCAAGGAATCTTTAGTATCTTAGATATTTGATTTTTGTACAATATGCATTCCAGCGTTGTAAGGTTGGCAGATTCGAAGGTTGAAAAGACATGAGCGTAAGTATAACACAAGTACTGGTTCTTCGAATATCACACCAGTACCTGATGTAATACTCACACCCGTGTCTTAATTGATCATGCTGCATTCTTCATTCATCATGCCGTACTATAGCAAACTAACTTTCACACATGCCACTAGAAGTAAGAAAGCTATATAAGGTAGTAATTATAATAATATAATTAGTATGTTACAATGATATAAACTATTCCATTAGAACTCGATAGCTGTTTATTAGTATCTGTTAGGGTTTCTTTACTTCTATAATTTGTACATAGAAATGAAATTAAAGGGTGCCTGTTTGTTATTTTTTTGTGTACGAATTGGACGGTATTTTGTTACAAAAATGAAATATATTGAGTATTCGTTGTTGCATTGCTAGGGCAAAACTATAAACAAGACGAAAATATGCATTATTATATAGGAAAATGAAAATTTGTATTGCATGCTTTCATCTTTGTAGGATCATGGGAGCGGGTGGGAAACCCCACGAGGTAATATGAGCTGTTACAATTTACACGCTCACAGTTACCGCATGAGATTACCCACTCTAACGCTACCAAATTATACGTGTGGTTTTAAGTATGGATATGTATGTATGTATGCAAGTATGTATGTATATGTATGCATGTATATATGCATATGTGTGCGCGCGCGCGTGTGTGTGTATACGTATATACATATATACATACATACATCTTTTTCTAACGTATCCTATATTATTATAGCATGTACATATATGTATGTATGTACATATATCCGTAGCCAGAACATTCTGTGGACATAAAGTTTACGTTTGTTCGATTGGTATCGTACGATCGCAAATATAATCGACATAATTATACATACAATTGAGCGACAGGTGATCAAACATATAAATTTTAGAACTCAAGCGTATGATTTAGTAGTACTGCATAGTCATAATAACTAGCATCTTTTTTTTCCAAGGACCAACCAGTAAATAGATAAGGTCACGGTGTTACCTAATAAGTCGCTTTTACATTGTATCGCGTGCGCACCGATAATTCGACCGCATGTTATGCAGATGTTGCAGATTCAAAGAGAAACCGTGGAATGCTAGATTTATTAGATAAATTGCAAAGAAAACGAAACGAAGAAACAAAATAAGAAGGATAGTAATTTCACATACATACAAAAAGAAAGGTAATGTACAATTCAATGGTTGGTTCGTATTCCATTTCTGGATGCGATAGATTGAGAATTTATGTTTAGAAATGTGGGAGGAAAAATAGTACCAGCACCAGTGGCAATGCATGGGCCAACGAGGATGTGATTTAGTGTGCTAAGGCGACGATCCAGTTCGTAGCCGGATACCAGCAAGAATCCTGGGCTATTCTCAAAATCCCAGAATTACCAGCTGATATTTGACTACGTAACCGGAGTTTCTATGTGTTTGCGCTTGCAGATTAGTCACAGATCGCACTCGAACCAATAATTCTAGAGTGGGATTTGAACCGCGTCACCAGTGCATAAACTAAAATGAGAGTGTACAATGGTTTTGCAGGTTGATATTATAGCAAGCTGTGGAAATATCGGGTCCAGTTGAACAATTTCATTACAATAGATACGTGCGCTTTTGGAAGATATTGTTACGAACGTATGCTAGATTTAGACTTTTTAATATTATCATCAGCGTGATTATACCTAATAAATATTATGTATTAACGACAGCGAGTGATCGCAAGATATCTCGTTGCTTTGAGTTTAAACCATCCGTCAGTGTCCTCGAAGGATAATACATATATATACCGCAACATAATTGAAAAAATTATTTACGCTTTCACCCAAGAATGATAATTAAGCAACAAAAAGATTAGGCACCGTTCAACCTAGAATGCTGAGTTACAGTTTTTTTTTATAAAATGATTATTTTACACTTCATACAATAGAACCCTCTATCCAAATAAGCACGTGAATGTGTTATTTACTTACAGGTAGCAACGGTTTACGATTTCGTGTTTTGTATCGCGCGTTTAACAACAAATTAGAAAAATCTGTATTAAACAAATCGGCAGCGGACGTTTGAGCGTCGACGAGTTCTCGTATTAAAATTCCATAAACACGGTGTTACGTCGGCAAAAGTTCTTTTACGGTATCTTTTCATTGTGAAATTACGCTAACCATGCGAGATGTCAAAGTGGCAAGATGCAGGTAGAAAAAGAAATGTGAGAAATAATAATAATAATACTAATAATGATAATGATAATGATAATGATAATAATAATAATACTAATGCTAATAATAATAATAATAATAATAATAATAATGCTAATAATGATAATGATGATGATAATGATGATAATAATAATAATAATAGTAATAATAATAATGATAACTATTACAAAGTCGAATACCTTCTTCGCTCAGCTGTTGGATACGTTCTGTTTTTTTGTCGAGCTGCTCGCTAAGTCTGGACGCTGCTTGTACGCCTTCTTTAGCTTCGGTTAATTGTTCCTATTAACAGGTATTAAAAATGACATTGAATGGGCAACACGATGAGAACACGGCTGAGAACTGTGTGTGGCGAAACCGATACACACCCTGATATTGATAATATCGTTGGCTAATTCTTCTTGTCTTCTATGCGATTCGTTCAGTTTCGCTCGAAGCCTCTCCGTAGCTGCTCGAATGTCTTTTTCTTTATCTAAAATATCAACGCGCCGTTAAAGAAACATGTTGGAATATGTCGCCGGTAATCGAAGGATTTAAAATATGTATACCTCGTTGGAATTGTTCCAAGACGATTTGCAAGTTGGTCAAAGACGCGGACTGCGACAAGATTTTATCTTCCGCGCTGGACAATTTATTTTGTATGTCGTCCCTTTGCTGAACGATCAGCGCCATTTGCTGCTGCAACGTTTCCACTTGTTGATTCGCCCTGATGTTAGCGGACGTGTACGCGGTCGAACTATTTTTCATTTTCTCCTCGGCCTGCTGCAGCTTCGCCTCCAATTCTTGCCTCGCTTCCTCCACGATCAGAGCTTCTTCCGTGTAAGTGGACTGGATTTCCACCAAGTGCGTTCGCAACCTTTCCAATTCCTTCTCCGCGTTCGCCTCTTTGTTCTGACTCTCGATCAGCTGATGCTGCATTATCCGGTGACTGGATTGCTCCTGAATCAAGGCGGCTTCCAGCGCGTTGCACTTCTCGTTGAGAACCGCGTTTTCTGCCAGAAGTCTGGTATGATCGACGATCCCGCAGGTTCCGCCGGTGTCCGATGCCTCGACGTTCCTCAGACGCTGTTCAATCTCGCGCATCTGGCTCGTGATCCGTTCCAGTTCCAGCTTCTTCGCGACCAGCTGGCTCGAAGATTCGTCCCTTTCCGCGGTCAAGCTCTGTATCTGCGCCACGTGCTCGTTCATCAGATGCGTCAGTCGTCGAATCTCGTCGTAATACTGCAAGCTTTCGTTGTGCTTCGCGGTAAGAAGGCTCACCAGCTCGTCCCTTTCCTTCGTCACGGCCGCGACATGGTCCCATCCCACTTCCGAGCTGTTCCTAGCAAGATCCATCGACGTCTTCAATATATTCAGCTCCTCGTCCTTCTCGCTGACCAAATGGGACAAGTTCTCGATCGTCTGCTTCGCCATGTCGGCCGACTCCGCCCTGACCTCGATCCCATGGAGTTCCCTCCGCGCTTCCGCAATTTCAGCCATCAAGCTCTCGTTCTTGTTCCTCAGGATCTCGTTTTCCTGCGCCATTCCCTTCAGAACCATCGACACTCGCTCTCTCTCTTCTCCCTCGTTGTCGACACGATTCGACAGCTCGTTGGTCCGCGCCTGCAGACTCGCGGTCTCCTCTTCGAACTGTTTACATCTGGCCCGAAGATCTTCGTTCAGGATCCTCGAGCTTTCGTTGTCTTCGGTCAGCCTCCGGACGGTCGCCTGCAAATCGTTCTCAACAGCCGACTCGGACATCCGTCTCGACTCTTCTTCCCGCTTTCGTTTGTCGCGTTCGTTTCGAAGTCGTTCGTTCTCCGATTCGAGTTCCCCGGCTTTTCTACGCAACGAGCAAAGCTCGTTCTCCAACCAGACGTACTTTTCCTCGGTTTCTCGCAACCGTTTCACGATCTCGCTCAATTCCATCTCCCTGTTTGCCACAGCTGCCGTCAGTTCTTGCTGCTCCTGCTCGAGCAACGATTTCTCCGTGTTCACCAAGTCGATCTTATCGTTCGATTCGTCCTGAATGGCCGAGATCTGCTCGAAAAGGGAGTTTTTTTCCTTCGTCGAGCTCTCGTACTCTTGGCTCAGCCTCGCGATCTGGCTTTCCTTCAGACGTATCTGGTTCAACGCTTCGTCCAATTCTTTCCTCGTATTCAGGATATCGCGCTCGAAATGGTCCCTCTCGCAGGTAACATTGTCCAGTTGTTCTCGAAGATCATCGTCCTGCTTCTCCAGCGCCACTTGCTCCCGCCACTTCGAGATCTCGATTTCCAGCCGATCGTTCTTACGCGACAACTCCTCGTTATCCCTCTCCATTTGCTGTTTGGCTTCGACCAGAACCGACAAACTATCCTCCAGGTGCTTCCTATTCCGAGCAGACTCGCCCAGCTCGCGTTCAACCCGCTCCAGGTCGAGCTTCAGTTCCTCGACGTACGCGGCGTTCTCCTGGAAGTCTTTGCATTTGTTCAAGGTCGCGGTAAGCTGGTCCCGCGTCTCCTTGCCCAAGCACTCCAGATGCTCGATCTTCTCCTTCAGTTCGTTGTTCTCGTCCAAAGCGGCGAGCAGCCTGCGATTCAGATTCTCGAACGAGCCGTCGGTCTCTTCGACGCATTCAGGAATGTCCTCCAGTCGCCAGCCCGTCGATTTTTTCGTTTTAGCCAACGTGATCGCGGATGCGGGCCCGCGACTACTCTCCTTTCGCAGCGCCTCGTTCTCCGCCCGAAGCTGCTCGAGCTGCTCGTGCAGAGACTCGGTTTCCGATTCCAACGAGGCGACGCGTTCCTCGCTGGCCTCCGGTATGGACGGCAGATTCAACTTCAAATCCTGGATCTCCAGCATCAGCGTGTCTATGTGCGTCTGCATCTCGTCGCACTCGATCTGCAGGCTTTCCTTCGTCTCGGCGACGTCCTTCAGCTCCCGGTTCAATTCCGTCAGCCTCTTCTCCAACATATCCTTCTTCCATTTCGCGTCGACGTATTGCCTGGCGACGGTCTCGAAGATCGACGCGTCCGGCTCCGACTCCAGCGCCGCGTTCTTCAAGATCTCTTTCACCTTGACGGCGAGTTCCTCGATCGTCGACTCGTTTTCTCGGCAGTTCTCCCGAACGGTTGTCTCTCCCGTGGCCGTGTTTTCCGCGCGAACAGTTTGGCAGAAACGTGTGACCGTTTCGACTCGGACACGTTTCGTCGCTTCGCCGTCGGCCAACGTATTCTCCAGCTGGACAACCTTGTCCTGGGCCTGGTTGTAATCCACGTAGAGCTGCTCGTAAGCATTTTGAAGGCGTTGGTGCTTCTTCTCGATTTCCTCCTTGAGGGACAGCAGCTTTTCTGCAACACGAAAACAATTTCAACGGCGGTCTCGACACGGTCGTTAACCTTTTAGGTACGGCTGAATTCTGCGTGAGGCTATTTCTCTGGACGGCAGAGTCTGATGTGTACTCTACAGAGTCTGATACTGTATATTCTGTCTGTATATACAGGGTGTCCCAGAAATGTCTCGCAATCCGAAAGTGGCGG